CTGTACTGTACCTCATAAAAATAAGTATTACATTAAATTTTTAATTTTTAAAAATGGGCAGAAAAAATACAAGCAAACTAAATCTATTGCAAACAAAAAAAAGGAAACAATAATTAAAGAGACAAGAGAATAAAACAGGGAAAAATTGAAACCGTAAGTTGTTTTTTTAAAAAAAAAGCAACAAAATTGACAAACCTTCAGTGAGATGAAGAAAAAGAGAGAAGACTGAAATTAATAGACTCACGTGAGGAAAGGACAACATCAGCAAAATAAAAGGACCCTAAAGGAATACTAAGAACTACTGTATGCCAATAAGCTAGAATGAACCAACCCCTGCAAATACACAAACTACTGAAACTGATGCAAGAAAAAACAGAAAACTAAATTAGTAATCACAAAACACTATTTGAAAACAAAAACCCAGGCCCAGCGGGTTTCATGAATAAACCACGAAATATTTAAAGAATTAATAGCAATTCTTCACAAATGCTACCAAAAATATAGAAGGGAAACATTTCCCAATACATTCTATGAAAACCTACTTCCAACTAACACCAAAATCAGACAGACATTTTAAGAAAAATACAGATAAGTAACTCTGATGAAAATGGACTCAAATTCAAACGAAACTGCTGTAAACTGATTCCAGAAACACAGAAAGTGAATTATATGCCATATAATTCCATATCAAACGGATTTATTTAAGGAACACAAGGCTTTTTTTCCCCCTAACATCTGAAAATCAATTAATTTAATTTATATCAATAAAATAAAATTGCAAGACCCCATATTCACTTTAATAGATGCATGAAAAGGATTTGACAAAATCCAATTCCTTTTCATATAAAAACACTCAATAAACTAGGACTAGAAGGACATTTCCTCAACATGATAAAGGTTATCTATATAAATCCTACATCTGACATTATACTTAGGGGGTGTTAAAAGACTAGATGTGTTCCTCCTTAGTTTCAGAACAAAAACAGGGATGTCTTCTTTCACCACTTCTCTTATTAAATGTGCTACTGGAGGTACCAACTATAGCAGTTGGGAAAAAAAAAAAAAAAAAAAAAAAAAAAAAAAAAAAAAAGAAAAACATCCAGATTGGAAAGGAAAAAGTAAAACTTCTATGGTAACAAATCATATGATTTTAAATATAAATAATCTCAAGGAATCTACCAAAAGAAGATTAGAATAATAAATTCAGCAAGATTGAAGATCTAAGATCAATATAAAAATCTGCACTTAAAATGAATAATATGCAAGTGAAATTAAGAGAATTCTACTTTTGATAGTTTCAAATTAATACTTAGGAACAAATTTGGCCGGTGCCACAGCTCACTTGGCTAATCCTCCACCTGCGGTGCTGGCACACTGGGTTCTAGTCCCGGTTGGGGCGCCAGGTTCTAGTCCCAGTTGCCCCTCTTCCAGTCCAGCTCTCTGCTGTGGCCCGGGAGTGCAGTGGAGGATGGCCCAAGTGCTTGGGCCCTGCACCCCATGGGAGACCAGGAGGAAGCACTTGGCTCCTGCCTTCGGATCAGCGCAGTGTGCCGGCCGCAGTCCAACAGCCATAGCGGCCATTTGGGGGGTGAACCAATGAACCAATGGAAGGAAGACCTGTCTCTCTGGCGCTCTCTCTCTCTCTGTCTAAATCTGCCTGTCAAAAAAAAAAAATACTTAAGAATAAATTTAACAAAAGAAGTACAAAACTTATATCCTACAAACTACACTTCATCCAACTGGATGACTAAAGTCAGACAGTGCTGTAGAGAAATCCTAAACCTCTGACACTCCTGGTGCTAATGAAAATGGTACAGTCACTTACAAACATAGTCTAGCAGCTCCTCAATTGATTAACAGTTAGCATATGACCTAGCAATTCCATTCGTAAGTATAATATACTCAAGAAAATGAAAACACATATCCACTACACGAAAATCATTCACAGAGTTATTTATAACTGCCAAAAGACGGGAAAAACTCAAATGTCCATCAACTGAGAAGCAGTGTGTATACATACACACACACACACACACACACAATGGAATATTATTCCATGAAAAAGAATGAAGTATTGATAAATGGTAAAACATGGATAAGTTCCTAAAACGCTGTAAAGTGAAAGACAAAAGGCATAACAGGCCACAAAGTAGATGATTTCACTCCTATGAAATGTCCAGATCTTATGGTTTAAATGGGGTTTGGCTCTCCAAATTTATGTAGGTGTTTAAATCTCAAAGTCTACATTAAACATTGATGGATTAAGGGTGGAGGTCTGATTCAATTATTGTGTAGAAGGAAGAATCTGTAGGAAGTAGTTGGAGTAGGCTGCCAGGTGGAGTTTTGTGACTTAGATCACGAAGGCCATATAAGGAAACATACAAGGACACAGAGCAGCATGTTTCATGTTTCCTGTGTCCTGCCTTCACATGTGGTATCATTTAAGGGACAGGTAAGGTAACAAGACACTTGCATCCTGTATCAGAGTGTCTGATCTGATTCCAGCTCCCTGACAATAACAGACCCTGAAGGGAGCGGGTGATGGCTCAAGCAGTTGGGTCCCTGCTACTTATGTGAGAGACCTAGAATGTCATCCATGTTCTGGCCTGGCCCAGAGCAGAGACAGACATCTGGGAATTAAATCAGTGAACAGGAGCTCTGTCTGTCCATTTTTCCCTTTCAAATAAATAAATAAAATTTAAAATTATTTAAAGTAGAATAAAGTGTCAAATATATAAGAATATTTATAGAGAAATTATATTAAAATGCATTAGAAATGAATGAAATGGGGAGAAATACACTGTTAATAGAGTAGAAGACAATATAATGAAGACATTAATCTTCCACAAATTAACCTCTAGATTCAGTCAGTCTCAATCAAAATTCCATTAGATTTGTTGGTAGACTTTGATAAGCTAATTCTAAAATTTTCATGGACAGCAAAGAAAATAAAAACAAATTCTTTTTTTAAAAAAGATGAGAGGTCCTTAATATAGGTATTATCATTGTTAAGGAAGTTATAGTAAGGCAAAATGCTAATGGCAAAAGGATAGGCAAAGAGAGGAGTGGCCAGTACGAGATCTTTGTAGCACCTATGGAAAACTAATGTATTTACAAAGGTGGTTCCACAGATCAGTGGGGAAAATGGATTCTGCAATAAATTGCACTGAGACAACTGGGTATGTAAATATAGAAAATAAAAAAAATCAATGGGGCCGGCTCTGTGGCTCAGTAGGTTAATCCTCTGCCTGCAGCGCTGGCATCCCATATAGGTGCCGGTTCTAGTCCCAGCTGCTCCTTACGATCCAGTTCTCTGCTTTGGCCTGGGAAAACAGAAGATGGCTCAGACACTTGGGCCCCTGCACCCCCGTGGGCGACCTGGAAGAAGCTCCTGCCTGCGGATCTGCACAGCTCCAGCCATTGTGGCCATTTGGGGAGTGAACCAGCGGATGGAAGACCTTTGTCTCTGTCTCTGTCACTGCCTAACTCTCTCAAATAAATAAATAATATTTTTTTAAAAAAGAAAGAAAATAAATTGAGACCATTTTTACAATTCCTAGGTAGGTAAGACCAAAATGGGAAAGTAAACCTATAAAGTTTTAAGAAGACAACACAGGGAAATATCTTCATGTACTAGATAAAGCATTTTTATACAAGATATATATAAACAGCAATATGAACAGTACATCTAATATTAAAAACCCTATTGATCAAAATACACTAAAAAATGCCACCATAAAAACTCAGAGAAGACACCTGTAATAGTATAAATGACCAAGATCCAATCTCCAATACACAAAAGAATTCCTACAATCAATGATAAAATAAATAAAAATAAATAAATTAAATAAAATAAGCTCAACTAGAAAAAGTGAGTAAAAGATCTGACCAAGAATTTCAGCAAAGTGGAAATTCAAACAGCCAGTACACCTATCAAATACCCTAGCCTCTTTAGCATTTGGGAGGAAGGGAGGAAAGTATCATTATTTCTTAAAATTGTATATATGAAACAGATGAAATCTGTTTCTTTAATATAAATAAATAAAACTACAAAGCAATAAAGTAGTATATGCACTATACAAGTAAAAGAAAAAAGAAAATGAAAATGAATAAGTCTGACAGTACTAAGTGTTGACAAGGATAAAAGATCTCCAATCTCCTCATAATCAAGAAAACTCAGGAGTGAGCCAGTTAAGACATCAACGCCCCATACTGAAATAACTAGATTTGATTCCCAACTCTGGTTCCTGAGTCCAGCTTCCAGCTAATGTAGACCTTGGAAAGCAACAGAGATGGCTCAAGTAATTGAGATCTTGCCACCCACGTGGGAGACCTGGATTGAGTTCCTGGCTCTTGGCCAGTCCCAGCCTGGCCATTGCAGGCATTTGAGGAGTCATCAGAGGACAGGAGCTCTGTCTGGCTCCCTGCTTCTCAAATAAGTAAAAATTTTCTAAAACTAAAGAAATTTAAATTAAAACTACAATGATATGACATATAACATTCAAACAAGTAGGAATTTTTTTTTAAAGTATAATATATATTGGCAAGGATGTAGTTATAAAATCTGATGCAACCACTCTGGAGAAAGCCATTTGACATCATATTTCATTTAACTTGCATATTCATGGTGTAAATATATAATTTATAGAAAAACTCTTGCATATGTGCACTGAAATCCTTATATACATGTTTAGAACAGGAGAACTAGAAAGTGCCCAAATATCCCCAGTATTTCACGCAATGAAATACTCTCCACCTATCCTTCCATCCATCCACCCACCTATCCATCTAATGAAAATGCAGAAACTACAGTTTCAACATGGAAGAATCACAAATATTGAGCAAGTCACTAAAATATTTTCAGTGTGATTCTAGATATACAAAATGGAAAAGTAAAGCATAACTATTTTGTTCAGATTAGCAATGTATTAGATAATAATATTCAGAAATTTTAAGATCAGCACAAATGCTATTGAAGCAGAATAATATATATGTCTTACCAGCTCTCTTAGGCAATCCTGTTGAGAGGAATCTTAAAGATGTCATAAGGTGTCCATTATCTACTCTCTGACCAATAAATTTTACTGTTACTATAGCATATGGAAGACACTGCCTAGGTCTGTCTACTGGCTTTGAAAGAATACTGTATTCATAGAAGTACACCTGAAAAATAAGCAAAGTATAGGCTGATTAATTTTGACAGTAAGACTTGATGAAGCTCATACTTACAAAATATATAATGGAATGATATTACTTACTGAATATGTCTTTTCCTTCTGCCTTCCTCAATGTTAGTTTTTTTGAAGATGTGCAAAATTCATTTTTACCCTATCATATGTTTTTGTTCTTGATAGGCTACTAATGTTGGCAATAAGCTGACAGAATCTGCTGCTAAATAAAAAATACTTTTCCATTAAAAATGAAACAGTTTCCCTGTGCTCTGAACCATCTATTTTATTTGGTAGGAAAATAGCAACAATACATTTTCAAATGGGAACATGTATGTACTTTCTTATTTTTTATTTTACTTTTTTCAAAAAGATTTTACTTATTTATTTGAGAGGTAGAGTTATAGAGAGAGAGAGAGAGAGAGAGAGAGAGAGAGAGAGAGGAAGAGATAGAGAGAAAGGTCTTCCATCCGCTTGTTCACTCCCCAAATGGCTACAATGGCTGAAGCCAGGCTGACCTGAAGCCAGGAGCCAGGAGCTTCTTTTGGGTCTCCCACACAGGTGCAGGGGCCCAAGGACTTGAGCTATCTTGCACTGCTTTCCCAGGCCATAGCAGAGAGCTGGATTGGAAGAGCAGCAGCCAGGACAGGAACCAGTGCCCATATGGGAATGCAAGCACTGCAGGCGGAGGCTTAGCCTACTATGCCCCAGCACTGGTCTCAATATACTTCTTTATAGAAGAAGATTTACCTTCATTTAATCATCTATGATAACAGAAAACACATACGATTAAATGTTCTATGGAAAATTAAAAGTCCACAAAGTATCTAAGCAAAATATAAGAGAAATGGGGTGGGTATTAGGGCTAGGGATTAAGACTCTGGTTAAGATACTTGCATTTGCGGTTGGCGCTGTGGCGAGCGGGTTAACGCTCTGGCCTGGGGTGCCAGCATCCCACATGGGCGCCAGTTTGAGACCTGGCTGCTCCACTTCCCATCTAACTCTCTGCTATGGCCTGGGAAAGCAGCAGAAGATGGCCCAGTCCTTGGGCCCCTGCACCAGCGTGGGAGACCCAGAAGAAGCTCCTGGCTCCTGGCTCCGGTTTGGCACAGCTCCGGCAGTTGAGGCCAATTAGGGAGTGAACCAGTGATGGAAGACCCCCCCACCCCACCTCTCCTCTCTCTGTGAACTCTGACTTTCAAATAAATAATTAATAAATTTTTTAAAAATTAAAGTAATAAAAAGAGAAAACTGTTGTTTCACTTTAATAGCTACTATGTACATTTTTTCCTCTTTTTACAAAGTACAAAGGATCAGTACTATATAGCCATGTTTCTTTTTAATTAATTTATCTGAGAGGAAGATTGTGAGAGAGAGAAAGAAATCACTCCTACTTGCAGCTTTTCTCCCTAAATGCCTGCAATGGCCAGAGCTGAAACCAGGAGATGAGCATGTAATCTAGGTCGGTCTCCTATTCGGTTGGCAGGAACCCAATACCTGTGACATTCACAGCTGCCTCCTAGGGTCTGTGCTTGCAAAAAGGTGCCAGGAATCAAACCCAGGTACTCCAGGAAGGTGAGATCATGTATCTTAACTTTTAGGTTAAGGACCCAATCCAATAGCCTTGTTTTTAAATTAATGTTATTTTAATTCATAAATCATAACTGTACATGTTTATGAAGTACATTGGAATGTTTTGAAATATATATACAGTATATATACAGTATATATACAGTTTATGGATTTGTTATTTCACTGAAGTATCTTTTGGTTTTGCTGATTTTCATATATTATTTTCCTATTTTTCAATATTATTCATTTATACTTCAATTTTCATTCCTTTTCTTTTTCATGCTTCAATTGTTCTTCTTGCTACAGTTTCTTAAAATTTATTATCTGGGAACATTCTTCATGTGTTTTGTGAACATTCACAGTTTCAGGTGTATTTTGTTGTCCAGACTGTGGTCCATCCATGGAAGCTTGATCTTGTTGGACAAAGAATTCTGTAAATATTATTAGACCAAAGTAATTGATAAGGCTATTAAAGCCAAATTTATGCTTCTGGTTTTTTGCATTTTTGAACAGCCAATTAATGGAAGATTGATGTTCCCAAATATAATAGTGGAACTTTCTCTCTCTCCTTGAAATTTTGTCAATTTTTAAAAAATATATATTTATTTGAAAGTTAGGGTATCTGGGTAGAGCAGGAGTGGGGAGAGACAGAGCACACGTGCGTGTGCAAGAGAGAGAGAGAGAAAGAGAGAGAGAAACAGAAAGAGAGAGAGATCTTCCATTCACTGTTTCACACTTGAAATGGCTGCAATACCTGAAGCTGGGCAGGCTTAAGCCAGGAATTCCATCCTGGTCAACCATGCAGCAGAAAGACAGAGAGATGGATTGAGAGGGGAGCATCTAGAATTCCAAACAGCACTCCAAAATGGAATACAGGTGTCCCAAGCAGTGGCGTACCCTGCTTTGCCAGAATGCCCACCCTCATTCTGTAGGTTTTTGAAGTGTATTTTGCAGTTCTGAATTTAGGTGTATACACAAATTTGCTAGGTTTTAAAGCAACGGCTGCCTAATCATTAAGTAATCTTCCTGTTTGTCTCTGATAATTTTCCTTATTCTGAATTCCATTTATCTGAAATTAGTGTAGTACCTCCAGCTTTCTTTCAATTAGTTTTAACATATCTTTTGCTATCGCTTTATTTGAACTTGTCTGAATCAGTATATTTAGTGAATGTCCAAAAGACAAGATGTAGCCGAATATTGTTATTATACTCACTTTGTCAATCTTTATCTTTTAATGAATATATTTAAACGATTCACATTTAAGCCTTTAAATAAGAAGATGGTTTTCATCCTATTTCACAATGGTTACTGTTCCTCTTCCCTGTCATAGCTAATAAATGATGTTTCTAAGCCCTCTACTGTGAAAAGTTAGTGGGATTCCTCAAGATAAAGCAAAGTATTGGATCCCTAAGTCCATGTTGCCTGGGAGTTTCCCATTCATGGTAGGAATGGCCTCCAGCCACTGGGTAAAATTGCCTTCACACAAAGTTACCCTCTAAGTGCTTCAGCCAGGGCTCTGTTCCAGATAAGCAGGTCCCAGCTGTGATTCCAGCTTTACGACCTTTGATGATTCCTGGGTGCTCATTGCATTGTAACTGCAACTCCTTAGTGTGCCCAGAGAAGCTGTTGATATTTGTTTTGTTTAGCTTATTATTGTTGTAATGAGGAGAGTAATGACTTTCAAGTCTTTTCATTTCGGAAATGATACTTGAAAGAACTTCCACTTTGACTATGACATTGTCTAAATAAGATCGGCGTTGGAGCCTCGGGTGATTACTGACGCCATAAACAAGAGTGTCAATTGTTAAATCAACAACAGGAGTCACTGTGCATCTACTCCCCATGTAGGATCTCTGTCCTTAATGTGTTGTACTATGTGAATTAGCGGTATAACTAATACTCAAACAGTACTTTACACTTTGTGTTTCTGTGTGGGTGCAAACTGTTGAAAACCTTACTTAGTATATACTAAATTGATCTTCTGTATATAAAGATAATTAAAAATGAATTTTGATGTGAATGGGATGGGAGAGGGAGCGGGAGATGGGATGGTTGCAGGTGGGAGGGAGGTTATGGGGAGAAAAAGCTGCTATAATCCAAAAGCTGTACTTTGGAAATTTATATTTATTAAATAAAAGTTAAAAAAAAGAAAAAAAAAAAAAAAAAAAAAAAGAAATATATATACAGTATAATTAACAAAACCATCATTTTTATGGTGAGGCAGCTGAAATTTACTCTCAGATGTTTTAATTATGCAATACATTATTCTATGTTAACCCTGTTGTACAGTTTTGCTTAAAAGAACAGATAATATGTTTTATAAATTAGGAATAGTCTATGGAACACCTTAATGAAAGAAGCCACTGTATTTGGAATAAAGTTAAATGTAAGGGGCTGGCGCTGTGGCATAGCAGGTAAAGCCACTGCCTGCAGTGCTGGTATCCCATATGGGTGCAGGTTCATATCCCGGCTGCTTCACTGCTCTCTGCTATGGCCTGGAAAAGTGCTTGGGCCTCTGCACCCATGTGGGATACCCAGAAGAAGCTCCTGGCTCCTGGCTTCGGATCAGCACAGCTCCAGCCATTACGACTAACCAGGGAGTGAACCAGCGGATGGAAGACATCTCTCTCTCTCTGCCTCTCCTTCTTTTTCTGTGTAACTCTTTCAAATAAATAAATAAATATTTAAAAAAAAAGTTAAATGTAAAATTTGAATCTTCTTTACTAGCATTCCCAAATATTAAAACAGCTTTTATTGCTTAACAACATGCTACCCTGAATAAATTAGGAGACTTTTCATTTAACACTTAGATAAATTCTTTTTAAGTCTTGTATTAAATAATGTGAAGAATATGCATATCAAACCATCAAATGAACCATGATGCTAACATACCATTGAACTGTAGGCTTGTAGCTCGATGGTATCTTTTAGAGAAGGTACACTTCTTGACATGTGACAATCAAAGTTAGGAGAAGGATCTAAAGCAACTTTGTTTTTATCCACCGAAGGCTGAATTTTCTTTACTTTTCCAAATAGAACCTTAAAAAAGTAAGAATATACCAACATATTTTTAAAATCAGTCTTCAAACAAAAAAGCAAGGCTGTTTAAACAGGTAGAAATATGAATGGAAAGATGAGCCATGTCCCTGATGAATGTGATGACTTAACAATTTTCAGAAAATTTTTTAGAAACAAATTTTAGTACAAAGTCTTATCTTCTAGACTATAGAAACAGCTCACTATTTTTTTAAAATCTAGGTTACAGAGAATGACAGGAGAGGTGAGTTACAATTACAGACATTAAAATGTTTATTTAATATTTTAACAAAAGAGGGAAACAAAGCAAATAAAAACCAGAACAAAATTTAAAAAACCCATAAATAAGCCCATATATAATAAAAATATAGTTCATAAATTATATTACTAAAGGTACTGTTTGGAGTAAGTGATGCAAGAATATGTTATTCAATAAATGGTAAGGAACAACTGAAAAAATTTAATTAGACTATTAATTTGTAAATTAAATAAATATAAAACAAGTTAAACAGTTACTTATTAAAAACACAATGAAAAAAATAAAAAACATTTTTCTAATCTAATCCCAAAATGAAAAAAAAATTTTTTTTTTTTTGACAGGCAGAGTGGACTCAGAGAGAGAGAGAGAAAGGTCTTCCTTTGCCGTTGGTTCACCCTTCACCCTCCAATGGCCGCTGGTGCCTGCGCGCTGCGACCGGTGCACCGCGCTGATCCAAAGGCAGGAGCCAGGTACTTATCCTGGTCTCCCATGGGATGCAGGGCCCAAGCACTTGGGCCATCCTCCACTGCACTTCCTGGCCACAGCAGAGAGCTGGCCTGGAAGAGGGGCAACCGGGACAGAATCTGGCACCCCGACCGGGACTAGAACCCGGTGTGCTGGTGCCGCAAGGCGGAGGATTAGCCTATTGAGCCACAGCACCAACCCATCCTTTCACTTTCAGTTTGCATGTGTCTTTGTTGGTGATACGTGTTTCTGGTAGGCTGCAAATAGATGGGTTTTCTTTTCTTTTTTTACTTTCCATTTAGCTAGTCTGTATCTTTTAACTGGAGAGTTGAGGTCATTTACATTCAAGGTGACTATTGCTAAGTAACAACTTGATCATGCTGTTTTTCTATGAATATTACTATTGTTTACTTTGGGTTTCCTCTGTACCTTTACTGGGAGGTTTTCTGCCTTCACCATTTCTCATAGTGATGACCATGTTTCTGTGTTTTTGTGGTTAGCACATCCTTAAGCATCTTTTGTAAGGCTGTACAAGGGGTGACAAATTCTTTCAATTTCTGTTTGTTATGGAAGGTCTTTACAGTTATCTTCATTTCTAAACGAGAGCTTTGCAGGGTATTCTGGGTTGACAGTTTTTTTTCTCTTAAGACTTGGAATATATCTCACAATTCTCTCTTAGCCTGTCCTAACGGAGCTCCTCTGAAATTAATCTGGCATTTCTCTCATGCATATTTTAGAATCTTTTCTCTAGGTTTTACTGTGGAGAGTTTGACTACAATGTGTTGTGGTGAAGATCTTTTCTGGTCATGTCTATTACGAGTTCCGTGTGCTTCCTGTATTTGGATGTCCCTTTCTCCACATTAGGAAGTTTTCTTAATTGTTTCACAAAAAAGGACTTCTAATCCATTCTTTCTTTCCATGCCTTTATGTACTCCTAAGACTTGTACGTTGGGTCATTTGAACTGAGTCTGTTCTTAAGGCTTTCCACCATATTTTTTATTTGCTCTATTGAATTCTTCATTTCCAATATTTTGTTCGGATTTCTAACACAGCAATTTCATGAGAAAAGTTTTCTGTCATGTCATGTACAGATTTCTTCAGTTCGTGGATTTGCTTCTGATTACTTCTAAGTAATCCTATGAGCAGTTTTCTGAATTCTGTTTCTGGCATTTCTTTAATCTCTTCATTTTCACATTCTACTATTAAAGTGTTGTGTTCCTGTGGGGGCATCATGTTGTCTTCCTTATTCTTGTGTCTTGAATTGCTGTGTTTCTATTTAGGCATTTGTAGAGATATTTGTTGGCTTTTTTCCCCCTATGATGGCTTTTATCTTTGCATTATGCCTCTGTGGATTAGTGGAGTGTCTGTTCTTTTTTTTTTTTTTTGACAGGCAGAGTGGACAGTGAGAGAGAGAGACAGAGAGGAAGGTCTTCCTTTGCCGTTGGTTCACCCTCCAATGGCTGCCGTGGCCAGGGCGTTGCGGCCGGCGCACCGCGCTGATCCGATGGCAGGAGCCAGGAGCCAGGTGCTTTTCCTGGTCTCCCATGGGGTGCAGGGCCCAAGCACTTGACCCATCCTCCACTGCACTCCCTGGCCACAGCAGAGAGCTGGCCTGGAAGAGGGGCAACCGGGAAAGAATCCATCGCCCTGACCGGGACTAGAACTCAGTGTGCCTGCACCGCAAGGTGGAGGATTAGCCTAGTGAGCCGCGGCGCCGGCCGGAGTGTCTGTTCTTTCAGTGAACATCTGAGGCATGTGCTGGGTATGACCAAGGAGCTCTGTTCAGTGCTCCAGGGTGCAGGGAATGGATGTCCAAGGTAATCCCCAGCTCTGCTGGAATATTTTCCCACTCACCTTTTCTCCTCCAAGGAGACCAATGCCTGGGCGCTAGCCCCAGTTGGGTACAGTATTTGTCCACGTTGCTACAAGTACCACACAAATAATCTGTTTAAACCTCAGTGTGAGCACAGATCCCACAGCAATGACCCTTACCAGGGAGTCCTGAGCGTGTGGAGCCACCCAGTGACTGCTGCAAAACTCAGCCACACACTGTGGCCTCCCACACAGCCACAGGGTTTTCACAGTTCCAGCACACAAGGCTCCCACAGTGTTGAACACCCAGACCCCTGTCAATGCTCCCAGCCAGACTCAGGTGTCTCCTCTTGGCTGGTTGCTGGGCCTGCAGACAAGCTGGCACAGCTGTTATGTATGTCCAAAACAGCATCCACCTGCTCTTGGCTACTTCAGGACACTGGTGCCATGTAGTTGGGGGGAGAAAAATGTACCCCATTTTTTCCCCCTAGGTTGGCAGATATACTGTCCTCCACAGGGCTGCAAGCCAGACTCTGCCAGGGTCTTCCCACAGCTTCACCTCCAGTGGCTTGGGCTGCTGCAGTCTGGTTTCACTCTCCAAAGCTGGTGCTGAGGTTCTCGGCTACAGGGCTCCTGAACTGTGTGCGTCCACACCCTCCACATAGATCCACACTGTCCCTCTAATTCGCATGGAGTTTCCTCTGCTGTTTTCTCCTTAACTCTTCCCTGAGACTGCACGTTTTTTAAAATTATCTTTGCCTGGACTAGAGCAGTAAGCTCTCTTCCTATTCCACCATCCTTGTGCCTCTCCTTTGTACACTTCTTGTGGGAGCCAGGGTAAGCTACTGTAACACTGGAGACATGTGCTCTGATCACTGATTACTGCTTCTGATAAAAGGTACAGACAGAGGCGGCAACCACTATTGTCGTGTTGCTGTGTTTCTCCCCATCTTTGCAAGCTCCTTCCTCTTCTTCTGACAAAAACTTCTGAGAGATTTAAAGGGCCAGTACCTTCTTCATTTTTCACACTTTCCAATTTTGGGAGCCAACAGAGAAGATTCTGACATTCAAAGGCAACCACATACATGGCGGAAATCAAACAGTCAGTGTGCAAGCAGAGAGGAACAAGAAGGCTCAGAAACAGATTGGAGAAAACCTTACTATGTATACGCCTCAGGCTGCTTCTGGACACAGAAACAGCCTAAGATAATAAACAAAAGAAAAAAAAACAAAACAAAACAAGAAAACAGCAAATCCTGGGAAGGGGATCTGATTTCCAGAGTTGCCACATTTTAAACTCATATATCTGGTTTTCAACAACAACAAAATCACAAGGCACACAAAGAAACAGGAAATTAGGGCCAGCATTGTGGCACTGTGAGTTAAGCTGCTGTCTGCGACACCTGCATCCCCTATGTGTGCCGGGTTCGAAACCCTGTAGCTCTACTTCTGATCCAGCTTCTTGCTAATGTATTGAGAGATTCAGCAGAACATGGCCCAAGTACTTGGGTCTCACTCATGTGGGAGAACTGGAAGAAGCTCTTGTCTCCGGCCTGGCCCAGTCCCGGTCACTGCGGCTATTTAGGGGGTCAACCAGTTGATGGAATATGCCTCCCTCCCTGAATGTAACTCAGCCTTTCAAATAAATAAAATTTTTCTTAAAGAAGAAGAAACAGGAAATTGTACCTCATTAAAGGGAAAAAAATAGAGCAACACAAACTGTCCCTGAAAAAAAGACCCGATGGAAGATTTACTAGAAAAACACTTTAAAGCAACTGTCTTAAAAGAACTAATAAAGAAGTAGAAGAAAGCTCCAGATAATTATGCACAAAATTAAAGTATTAAAAAAAGAAAAAAAAATTTAAAAAATAACACACAAATCCTATAGCTGGTTAAATAAAATAACTGAAAATAAAAACTCACAAGATGAGGCCGGCACTGTGGTGGAGCGGGTAAAGCCACCGCCTACAGTGCCAGCATCCCACATGGGCACTGGTTCGAGTCCCGGATGCTATACTTCCCAGCTCTCTGCTATAGCCTGGGAAAACAGTAGAAGATGGCCCAAGTCCTTGGGCCCCTGCTCCCATGTGGGATGCCAAAAAGAAGCTCTTGGCTCTTGGTTTCAGCCTGGCCCAGTCTCAGCTGTTGCAGCCATTTGGGGAGTGAACCAGTGGATGGAAGATTTCTCTCTCTCTCTCTCTCTCTCTGTCATTCCCTCTTTCTGTAAACTCTTACTTTCAAATATAAATAAATCTTAAAAAAAAAAGTTAACCGAACCTACAAGACTTATGGGGTACTGCCACGAGGGCCCACATACACATTGTGGAGGTCTGAGAGAGAAAAGGCATAGAAAATATATGACGACATAGATGAAAACTTCCCAAGTTTGATGAAATACATGAAAATAAATATGCAAGAAGTTCAATGAACTCCAAGCAGGAAAAACTCAGAGGGCTACAGTGAAATAAAAAATGTTGAAAGCCAAGACAGAAATTTTTGAAAGCATGAGGGAAGCAACTCATCATACACAAGGGATCCTCAATCAGATAATCAACAGGTTTCTCATCAGAAACTTTGGAAGCCATAAGACAGTGGGTTAATATATTTAAATTGCTAAAGAAATAAACTGTGGGCCAAGCATGCTATATCCTACAAAGCCATACTTCAAAAGTAAGGGAGAAATGCACACATTTCCAGACAAAAGACGAGGGAATTCATTCCTATTAGAGTTTTAAATTACCCATAAGAAACTTCATTCCCACCATACTGCCCTGTCAAAAAGAACCCTGGATGCTGAAATGAAAGAACATTTGACGGTAACAAGCACCTCTGTGAATAAAGATCTCAGTAAAAGTAAATACATGGAAAAAAATTTAAAAAGTAAATACATGGGAAATTATTAAAGTGAGTATTATAACAATGGTATATAACCACATTTTGTTTCTATATGATATAAAAGACTAATACATTAAAATAATTATTGATCCAGAGGTGGTAATGCCACATTTTATTTCCCACATAATTTAAGAGACTAATGAATTAAAGATGTAATTTTGTGATATCAACAACTGAAAGCGGGTGACAGAGCTGATGAAATGCCAAGTCTTTACAAAGCTGTCAAGTTAGAGTGCTATAATTTTAGAATATTATGTGGAATTCTCATGGTAACCTCAAAGAAAGTAGCTAATGAATAGTAACAAAAGGAAACGAGAGAATTTAAATATTTCACTAAAAAACCTCAAACAACTAAACACAAAAGAATACAGTAATACAGGTTGAGCATCCCTAATCTGAAAATTTGAAACCAAAATGAGAGCATTTTTGAATTCTGGATGTTCAACTGAGAAAGTTTATGCAAATATTCCAAAATCTGAAAAACTCCCAAGTCTGAAACACTTTTAGACTCAAATATTGATAGGGAAAAATAACCTGTATTAGTTATGAGGTACCAAAACTGTAACACTATAGGAAACAAGGCAAAATGAGAGAAATTCCTTCTTCTTCTTCTTTTTTTTTTTTTAACAGGCTAAGTAGACAGTGAGAGAGAGACAGTGAGAAAGGTCTTCCTTTTCCGTTGATTCACCCCACAATGGCCGCTGCGGCCGGTGCACCACGCTGATCTGAAGCCCGGAGCCAGGTGCTTCTCCCGGTCTCCCATGGGGTGCAGGGCCCAAGCACTTGGGCCATCCTCCACTGCACTCCCTGGCCACAGCAGAGAGCTGGCCTGGAAGAGGAGCAACCGGAACAGAATCCAGTGCCCTGACCGGGAATAGAACCCGGTGTGCCGGCGCCGCAGGCGAAGGATTAGCCTAGTGAGCCGCGTCACCGGCCGAGAAACTCCTTCTTAATAGTGATTAATTTAACTAGAAATAGCTGAATTCTCCAATCAAAAGACAGAGATTGGTAGGGTGGGTAAAAAAATATGATCCACCTGTAACAAAATGATTTTCAATATAAAGATACAAATTAATTGAAAGTGAAAATATGGGATGGGAAAGGGTATTCCATACAAATAGTAACCAAAAGAGAACAAGGGTAGCTATGCTGATTTCAGATTAACAGATTATAAATCAAAAGGGTCATAAGAGCAAATAAGGATGTTATGTGCTAATAAGAAGTTCAATACATGGGGCCGGTGCTGTGGTGTAGTGGGTAAGGCTGCCGCCTGCAGTGCCAGCTTCCCATTTGGGTGTCAGTTTGAGTCCCCGCTGCTCCACTTCTGATCCAGCTCTCTGCTATGGCCTGGGAAAGCAGTAGAATATGGCCTAAGCTCCTGGCTCCTGGCTTTGGATCAGCACAGCTCCAGCCATTGTGGCCATCTAGGGGGAGTGAATCAGCGGATGGAAGACCTCTCTCTCCTTCTCTCTGTGCCTCTGCCTTTCTGTAAATCTGCCTTTCTAATAAAAATTTTAAAAATGTTCAATACAGAAAGATATGACAAATATATTTACAAACAAATAACAGATCATCAAAATAACTAAAGAATTGATGGAATTAAAAAGGGGTAAACAATTGGAGATTTCAATTTTCCAGTCAATAATGGATAGAACATTCTAAAGGTCAGTAAGGAAAACCTACAATTATGGACAGAGCAATCAGATGGAGGATCAATAAGGAAACAGCATCTGAACAACATAATAACCAACTACATGGCCGGCGCGGCGGCTCACTAGACTAATCCTCCGCCTTGCGGCGCCGGCACACTGGGTTCTAGTCCTGGTCGGGGCACCGGATTCTGTCCCAGTTGCCCCTCTTCCAGGCCAACTCTCTGCTGTGGCCAGGGAGTGCAGTGGAGGATGGCCCAAGTGCTTGGGCCCTGCAACCCATGGGAGACCAGGATAAGTACCTGGCTCCTGGTGCGCCGGCCGTGGCGGCCATTGGAGGGTGAACCAACAGCAAACGGAAGACCTTTCTCTCTGTCTCTCTCTCTCTCTCACTGTCCACTCTGCCTGTCAAAAAAATAAATAATAATAATAATAAATAACCAACTACATTTACAGACTACACGAAACTTCTACCATGATGAGCAGCAGCACATCTTCTCAGAGC